ACCTTTGAGGTGGGAGGCATGGATCGGGGCGAGTTCGTCGTTAGTATGGAGATCTTCGAGCGTGCACTCAACTTTAAATGGGAGGTCATCATCGTGTACGGACCGGTGGACCACAGCCGCTCCCCGGCCTTCCTCGCCGAGCTGCAGTAGAAGATCTCTGCGTCCTCCCTCCCAGTGGTCGTGGGAGGTGATTTTAACCTCATCCGCTCCCCGGATGAGAAGAATAATGACTGGGTTAATCGCCCCCGGATGCAGAGGTTTAACGACTGCATCGCGGAGCTTGGCCTCTGTGAGCTCGAGTGAACGGGGGCCCGGTTCACCTGGACTAACCGCCAGGCTAACCCGACGCAATCCATTCTGGACCGCGTCTTAGTCTCTTCGAAATGGGAACTCAGATGCCCCCTGGCCTCGGTGCAGGCTATCACCCGGATCGGCTCAGACCATGTCCCTCTCCTCCTCTCCTCTTCCGATGAATGCCCCTCCCATCCCCCCTCGGTTCCAGTTTGAGCTCTTCTGGCTCAACCAGGCCGGTTTTCGCGAGGCCGTTGCGGCTAAGTGGACCGCCGCTCGCGATGCTCCTCACTGAGCCATGTCCGCGGTGGACTCTTGGCAATTTGGCGCCAAGCTGGCCCGCCAATTTATGAAGGGATGGGGTGCGAACCTCGGACGTGATATTCGTGATCACAAGAAGGCCCTCTTGAGCGCCATCCAGGTCCTGGAAGCCCGTGCTGACTCGTCAGGGATCTCCCCAGACGAATGGATGCTGAGATATGACCTCGAGGACCAGCTCTCGGTCATCTACGCTGACGAGGAGGCCTATTGGCGGCTGCACGGCACCCAACGATGGGTGCTCCAGGGTGACGCCAAGACGGCCTACTTCCAGGCGATCGCCAACGGCCGGCGCCATCACAATTCCATCCACTCCCTATGGGAAGGCGATACTCAGCTTGTTCGCCCCTCGGACATCCGAGCCCACGTAGACGGCTTTTATAAAGCCCTTTTCACCCCCACCCCTCGGGGTGGGGCCGCGCTAGCCCCCGATACCTGGTCAGGGTCCCAACTTGTCTCTGCCGAGGCCAACGCCACATTGGTGGCGCCCTTCTCGGAGGAGGAGGTCCTTGCGGCGATCAAAGGAATGAACCCCTCCTCGGCTCCGGGCCCGGATGGATTGCCAGTCTCGTTTTTCAAAACATTTTGGCAAACCATCAAACCAGAGATCATGGCCCTCTTCGACGAGTTCTTCTCTGGGACAATGGACCTTGGGCGCCTGAACTACGGGATCATTACCCTCATCCCTAAGGTTCCTTGGGCCTCGGATATTCGCCAGTTCCGCCCGATCACGGTGATTAACATGATCTTCAAGATCCTGGCTAAAGGGTACGCCAATAGGGTGACCCTTCTCGCGGAGTCTGTCACCCACCCCAACCAATCCACCTTCATACAAGGCCGGTATATTTTGGATGGGATGTTGGTCTTCCACGAAGTCCTGCATGTAGTTTGGTCCAAAAACCACCGCGCGGTGTTCCTTAAGCTCGACTTTCACAAGGCATACGACACTGTCCACTGGCCCTTCATTTGGGAAGTTTTGCTTCGAAAGGGCTTCGACGACCGCTGGGTGACCCGCGTCATGCAACTCGTCACCTGCGGTCGGACGGCTGTCAACATCAACGGCGAGATAGCCCCTACTTCCCCACCCTATGTGGGGTGCGCCAGGGTGACCCGTTCTCCCCATTCCTCTTTAACATGGTTGTTGATGCCCTCGCGGTCATTCTTGATAAGGCCAAAGCGAGCGGCCATATCCGGGGCGTTGTCCCCCTCCTTGTGGACGGAGGAGGGGTTTCCCTCCTCCAATATGCAGACGACACCATAGTCATGGTGGAGGGCTCCGTGTCCGACATCGCCAACCTGGAGTTCCTCCTCCTGTGCTTCCAACAGATGTCGGGGCTCACCATCAACTTTGACAAGAGCGAAGTGATGGTCCTTGGCTACACCCCCGACGAAGCTTTGTCCATTGCGGACCGGCTGAACTGCCGCCTAGGCTCCTTCCCCACGACTTACTGGGGGGTGCCCATTAGTGACTCCAGGCTCACCATCGTGGATCTCCGCCCGACGGTGACTAGGATGCAGCACAGGGTTGAACCCTGGAGGGGGCGCTGGCTGTCGAAAGCTGCCAGGGTGATCCTAATCAATTCCTTGCTTGCTAGCCTTCTCTGGTTTCTCATGAGCTTCTACGCCCTCATGAGACCCTTCATCAGGAGGTGGCCAAATACCAGTCGGGGTTCTTTTGGGCTGGCAAGGGCGACAACCAGAAGTACCACATGGTGAGCTGGCCCGACATCTGCAAACCCAAAGACCAGGGCGGCCTTGGGATCCTGTCATCCAGGTGCATGAACATTGCCCTCCTGACCCGTTGGTTGTGGCGTATTGCCGATGGGGAGGGAGGCCTTTGGCTCACCATCATCCGTAATAAATACCTCCGTGGCCAACCTCTTGCCTTTTGCCAACGTACGGGTGGATCCCAGTTCTGGCAATCCGTGATCCAGCTTCTGCCCGTACTACGCATCGGCACTTCCATCACGGTTGGCTCCGGAGCCTCGACCTTGTTCTGGTTCGATCGTTGGCTAGGGGACTCCCCCCTGGCGGCGCGATTCCCGGAATTATTTGCCATTGCGGCTGACCCTCGGGTCTCTGTCGAGACGGCCCTTATTGACTTAGGGTGTCTCGCCTTCCGGCGACCTTTTGGCCCCCTTGAGGTGGCCGCTTGGGACTCCCTCCTCCAAGACATCGCCCTTATGCCGATGAACGTTGAGGAGGATCAGGATGCTGTCTCCTGGCGCCTTGAGCCCTCTGGCCGTTTCTCCACGAAGTCCCTGTACGGTGCAATTGCGCCATCGGCGGCCCCCGAACCCTTTAGCCTAATCTGGGACATCCGCCTACCACTGAAGATCAGGATTTCCTGTGGCAATGGATCCGTGGACGCCTCCCTTCTGGGGTTGAAGTCCTCAAGCATAATGGCCCGGGCGATGGGATGTGCCCCATCTGTGGCATGGTAGAGGATGCTAACCACATCTTTTTCTCGTGCCACTCGGCCCAGTTCCTTTGTGCCTGCTTCCACGAAACGGTTGGCAGACAGTGGTGTAATACCAACTTTCCCGACCTGCTGACGGAGCTCAACGCATCCCCCTCTCACTACCGCCATATTAGATGGTTGTGCGTTGGGGTTCTTGCCTGGACGCTTTGGAACATTCACAATAAGCTCGTTATTCAGAAGGTCCCCCTCTGACGTGCGACTGACGCTATCTTCAAATTGTGTGGTTACCTGCAGCTTTGGCGGCCGCTTAGCCGCCCCCAGGACCGGGACGTCATCACCACCCTCCTCTCCGATCTCCGCTCGATGGTGCTCCGCGTGGCTCCCCCGATGCCGCCTCCACCCCCTGAGCCTGACTAGTTCTCCTGGCGGCTCTGTGGTGTGTGTATTTTGTGTTTAGGGCTTGTTTTGTTGTGCCCTCAGCATTGACCCTTCCGACTTTCGTGCTATTGTGGACTTCCGTGTGTTTGTGTGTGTGTCTGTGTTGGACCTTGTTGGATGCTTGTTGTGCGGTTGGCTTTATAATATAAAGCGGGGCATAAAGCCTTTTTCGGTATGTAATCACTTTATCTTTGTTCTGCTGTTATGTCTGAAAAATTGGTGGTTTCTTTAACAGTACAGAAATCGACGAGAAGGCTCGTTGTTTCAAAAAATAAAAAACACATTCAGAAACATGCGTCAGCAAAAGCTGGGAGATTGGATCCTAAAGAAAAACGGTATCTCTGGAAGAAAATGCCCGGGGAAATGAAAAACTGTCCTGACATTTCCCATCATGAACAGCAAATCTGCTCAATTCAGCCAATAGAAAGAGTAACTATGTTACAACAGTTAACTGAGCTCCGAATAGAATAAGCAGGTTTGGCGAAACCATTAGCCATCATTTGAGCTACAATATTTTTGACTAACTATTAATCTCGAGACCAACATAACAATCTGTTTTCCACTCAGCAACCATAGCATAAGCCATTCATCATGCAATGGAGACTTATGAACTCAACCGTTGCGACTCTAACTGAAATATAATAGAAATCATGCTACCATGCGCACATCAGAAAACAGATGCAGCTGAAGCGTAAAACTGGTAACGCTTCCATGCTAGCTGTTGGGACTTCCATTGTAGGAATCGGCTCCAAACAAAAATAAGTTCAGCGATATATATGAACATATCATGCAGAAACACATATAATACATTCAAGAACATGATGCTTTAGCCCAAGGATCAGTTACTACTACCAATCACTGGCATAGATGATGACACCGTGGGTGTGGAAAACCATCATATTACAACTCTGCTAGCTTGCTATGGAAAACCATCATATTATATATAACTCTCATTGTAGCAGCCCTAGCGCCATGCTTGATTTACTATGGAAAAAAGGCAGATGTACAGATACATGCATTCTCGTATGGATCAACGATTATGCGCGCCTTGAATTGTTGCCATGGAAGCAGAGTAACCCTTCTTGATGTTCTTCAGCCTCGCGACCACGTCGCTCATGCTCATCCTCTGGTCAGGAGAATCGCTTGAACACTCCAGACCCAACTCAAATGTTGACACGAGAAAGTCGACGTTCGAGGCAGTGGAGGATGATGCCAATTCAGTAGTATTGCTTTGGTGATGAAAGCCACCTGGTTCGCACCTACTTATCTCTTCACCTTGAGCAGCTTCTCGTCAACAACATTGATGAGCCTCGCCGGAAATGCTTGTGAAACCCACTGCCTAAGACTGGATTCTCCGATGAAGATGGGATTTGTGGGCCTCTTCCCGGTGAAGACTTCGAGAAACATGATCCCAAAGCTGAACACATCGCTCTTCCGTGATGCCTTCCCCATGAATGCAAGCTCTGCTCAAGATTTTTTGAAGAGAGTTCAGTAACCAAAGAAATAGCTGATGCCTTGCAAAATAATTTGCTCAAGCATGATGGTAGCAAGTACACATACCTGGGGCCATGTAACCAATCGTCCCTGGCATACTCACTGATACCATGGAGTTATCATCGCCCAAAAGTAACTTTGCAATGCCAAAGTCAACAACATGCACCGTCATGTCCGTATCGAAGAGCACATTGCTAGGCTTCAGGTCACAGTGTAAAACAACTTGATAGTGATGATGATGTAGGTACTCCATCGCCTCCGACACACCAAGCATAATGTCCAATCTCTTGATGAATCCTAGCGGCTCCCAATTTTCAGTGTGCAAGTGTGCGTCCAAGCTACCATTGGCCATGTACTGAAGCAACAGTGCTCTGAAATCTAGGTTGGAACAAGTATTCAATATCCGTATCAAGTTGTGATGGCGAGCCATTCGTAGCACTTGACATTCAGCATCAAAGCTCCTCACAGCCTGCTCGACTTGCATGTTGATCACTTTAATTGCAACAACCGAACCATCATCCAGTTGGCCCTTGTAAACTTTACCAAAAGTTCCAGCTCCAAGTATGTTGTCGTCGTTGAAATTATCAGTGGCTTCAGCAATATCATGGTAGGATATTAACCTACGGCTGATCACGTCAGCCATGTCAATAGAAGTCGAAACATCTGGTTGCTTCCTATTTTTCTTTCTGTTCATTAGGTATAGGAGAATTGCTATAGCCCCCAGTGTTATCATGAGAACTGGAAGCAAAAATCTTAGCGAGTGTTTGTTGGATGGGTGTGAATCAACTTGCCATGGCAAAACTCGTAGACGTGGGGCACCACACAACCCAGCATTTCCCATCAAAGATTGAGAGCTGATGTTTTTTGAGAAAATACCTCCATCTGGTATCTCCCCTTGGAACTTATTAAAAGAAAGGTTCAAGCTAGTCAGAGAAGTAAAGTTGGCCAAATACTTTGGAATAGTGCCAGAAAGGTTGTTACAGGATAGGCACAATACTTTTAGGTTGAGTAACCCTTTGAAAGAGGCTGGGATCGAACCTTGCAACATGTTGTGTGATAGATCAAGGTAGCTTAGCAGTCCGCGTTGTGCAAATGAAGTCGGGAGGTTACCAATTAACCAAGTTGTTGGAAGATATATCTAGTATGTCCATTGCTTCCATGGAACTGAAATGAGTGGGCAATGAGCCAGCAAGGAAGTTGTGAGACAGATTTAATTCCCGAAGGTGAATAAGATGGAATAAGCTTTCAGGTATAGTTGACGACAGCTGGTTATTTGCAAGCGTGATACGCTCTAGCATACTTAGGTTACCAACACCACTTGGTATGACACCAGAAAAATGATTGTTTCGCAGGCCTAATTCGTGCAATCTTGTTAGGGCGCCAATATGAGTTGGGATTGGGCCAAACATGTTATTCCCACTTAGGTCTAGTTCCTCAAGATTCTCTAATAATGTAACAGAATCTAGATTCGTGGAACTCAATTGGTTGCCAGCAAAGGATAATACACTAAGTCTACTAAGATTTGATATTGTTGCTGGGATTATGCCAGTAAAATGGTTGGCGTCTGCAAAAAAGTAATATAATTTTGTAGAGAGGTTTCCAATGTAAGTAGGAATGCTCCCAGTGAAAGAACGCATTCCAATGTAAGTAAGAGTTGTCTATAGTTGGAGAGAGTGGACAAGAAATCAAGGGTCCCTTTGAACTGATTGCTTTCAATATCCTGAAAATTAAGGGTTCTGAGGTTCCCAACGGTTACCGGGACTAATCCAGTTAAATAGTTCGACTCTAGTGCCAGCAAAGACAGTTGAGATAGGTTACCAACAAAAGCAGGAAATGAACCTGTTAAGTCATTATATGACAAATGTAAATGCGTGAGGTGACTTATTTCCCCTAATTCATCTGGGATCCTTCCACTTAGATTGCAATATGAGAGATCAAGCACATTTAGCAGAGTGAGATTACTGAGCTCACCCGGAATTGAACCAACCAGGCCATTTCCACCTAAACTAATCCAAGTGAGCTGTGACAGTTTAGCAAACCATGCTGGGACAAAGTCCGCAAAAGAGTTTACGGACAGGGAAACTACTTCAAGATATCTACATGATGCGAGTCCTAGTGGAATACGGCCTTGAAAGTTGTTGCCACCCATACCGAACTTGAGCAACATGGGCAGATTAAAGCTTTTGTTGCTAGGGATGGGTCCTGTTAAGTAGCTATTACTGGCGAGGATCAGAAGTTGTAGTTTAGACATGTTGAATATGGTTGGAGGTACTGGACCGGATAGCTGATTCCGTTGCAACAAAAGGGTTTCAAGCATGGCACAGGAGGCAATACCGGGTGGTATTGGCCCTGAAAGACTGTTGTTTCCAAAATTCAGATCAATTAACTGAGGTGTGTTGTTGAATAACTGTTGTGGTATCAGACCACTTAACTGGTTTGTCCCGAGATCAATATTCCTAAGATTATTCAAGTTTTGCAGATCATATGGTATTGTCCCAGAGAGATCATTTTGGCTTAGAACAAGGACTTTTAGCTTTGTGAGATTTCCTATGGTATGAGGGATAATGCCTGATAATCCGTTAAGGCTAAGATCAAGTACAACGAGACGACTCGATTTACCTATATCAGGAGGGATGATGCCTGTGAGATTTGTGTTGGTGAGGTTTAGGACATGGAGAAAAGAGAGGTTACCAAGATATGAGGAGACCGCTCCAGTATGCCTGGCAGCACAAGAGCGGTAACGCGCCGCAGACGACGGCTGCAAGAGACACCAACCCAGTGGCAGAATGATGTACCAGTGGTCCAGTTCCTACCAAGAATACCAAGAGGATCGGAGCACTCTGCTTTGAAGGCTAGAAGCGCAGCTAGGTCAGTGCCATTATTTCTATGGAGGAAAGGATCAGCTAGCATGGTCACTGGAAGCAAGAAGAGGAGTGTGAGTATCATGAGGGGAAGTGCCATGGCCATGGACAGTGGTGGCTGCTCGCACTGTTTAAGAGCTTGGAATTTGTGGAGAGTGGTAGAGAATGCTGGTTTACTTATAGAGCTCTTACATGGTGTGTCTCAAGGTGAGGGATGATCACAATAGTCTTTAGTACCCTATTGCAAAAGTTGGTCAGAAAAGGAAGACCGTGACTCAATAATTGCTGCAAATTATTGGCTACGTTGCTGCAAATTGCTGGCTACGTACGTTGAAACTGACGGTACTGATGTCGACTGGGAAGGGCCCATCAAGTTGCTGGTCCAACTTTCTTTCTTTGGGAGGATATGATATATAATTGTGGTGATCTCGTTGCTGAATTGGCAATTCTTTTCCGAAGCATCATGACATTAATCCCTCAAAAAAGGATCATCGCATCTCACTGGGAAAAGAAATAGCAGGAAATGGCTGACAGGGCCAAGGAAGATACAGAACAGCCTTCCATGATCTGCTGCATCCCTTGCAAAAATACCTATGCATTTACAGCACTTCTAAATCTTCCGTGTGTGTCCAACTCAATCATTTAAAGACCGTCATATATTTCCTTTGTGTCGATTTGGATGTTTACAGGAATGAAATCAATCTCTACATCGGGTGTTGTCAGTCTCCATAACTGTTTGGAAATAAGAATTGGTAGGCGCGGTTGACTACTAAAAGGTGGGTTTCCCATTCAGAATGAGGTAATAGCACCCCAGGTACCCTAACTTGCACAGAATGTGACGATTTAGTCCCAAACTTGCAAAACTTGACTCCTCCATACCCCAACTTGCCCCTCATATGATGATTTAGTCCCCGACCAATGAAAACTCGACAATTGGCAGCCAGCTGGCTGGACCGGTCAGCGCACACACTTTTGCACAAAACCCCCTGCCGTTTCCTTTAATCAACCCGCACTCACCTCCACCTGAATTTGCCGTGGCATTGATCAATCAAAACTGTCTTTGCCGTGGTGGGCGGAGCAAATCATTCTTGCATGCACGCATGCATGCCGCATGCCTCGATCGATCGTGGTCGTTGAGTGGAGACGTACGAGAGAGTACGGTGTTTTGGAATTCTCGGATGATTGATGAGTGGATTCAAAGCTGGAATCATATTACCACTTCTTTCGATAGAAAAAACAGAAACAGAAAGGAAGCCATGCACAATGCACATTGCGCGGGCCTGCGTACTGGTGACCAGTACAGTACCGCTGTCCGCTGCCCACTGACGGCTCGAGTGCGCGCGCCAATACAAGCTAGCTAGCTAGCTATAGCTGGAGTACTCCGGTATGATGACCGCGTAATTTCGATCGCCGATGAAATGCGCGTACGTGCACGCCATGCATTGATGCTGAGTCTGGGAAGAAGACTCGAGCTAGATCTCGAGCGTACGCAACCAACTTCCGTGTAAACAACTTCATTACCGAATCGTTCGATCAAAAAAATTACTCCCTCCGTTTTTATTAACTCCACGTATTGGCTTTGACTGAAGCCAAACTTTATCAAATTTGACCAAGTCGAAAGTAACATATTTATGTGATGTGAGAATATATCTAATGATTAATCCAATGATATTTTTTTTAGGTTCAGTGATATATATATTTGAAGGTATATATGTTAATATATTTTTCCACAAACTTGTTGAAAGTATATAAAGTTTGAATTTAGACAAACCTAATATGCGGAGTAAATAAAAATGACAGGCGTAGGAAGAAAACACGGGAATATGATGCATGTCACGCAGCGTAATTTTCCTATTGCATCTTAAAAAAAATACATTGGAGTTAATAGAGAAAAAATATACTCCCCTGAAAACTTTTATAAGACATTTTAAGTCACTATTTGAAGCATAGGAATGCCGTTCTCAGTTATATAATTTTTTTGTCAGGTGTAGCTCATATTTTATTAGATAAATTGATGATTATTATTTTTGACTCAAATGCGATGGTGGTGGTGTGTGTGTGCGTGTGTG